CTTAATTGAAGAGACCGCTAATTTAACGATTAAAATAGTAAAAATAACCTATTGGATCTTCCAATATTTATCAAATATTTAATGCTTAAGATTTTAAAACATGATTTGACATATTAAATTTGATAAATAAATTTAAAAAGAATGTGAGGTGTGATATTGACATCAAACAAACAGTTACTTACATCAGTGTAATAGAATCTTGTGTGATTAGTACTGAAACAAGTCAACCATTGCAAAAACCAAAAAACCACGACATCAACGAAATTATTACTATCATATTTAAATTGTATTGAATTTAAAGAAAAAAAGTGAATTATTTAAAATTTGTATCAATTTAGAGTCGTTTCATTTTCGATTGGTTTAATATTCTTGATATCCTTGAACAAAAAATCACAGGAGTAAGATTGCTTCTGTCCGCACTAAATCCACAATACCTCTCCCATCAACTAAAATTTATTTATTTAAGCTCTCAGAACACCAAATCAAAAACCAATTTAATTTTACAACATTCAAATTGATACTAGGTGAAGAAATAGAAAGGTAATCAGATATTGTTTCATATACATATAGTACCGATTAAAGGTTTCTTTTTTTTTTTTTTTGAAAGAAGAGAATTTTATTTATTGAAATTCAAGAATTATAAGAATCAGCAACAGTTTTAAGAAAAAAATAGTAACTGTTTAACAAAAAACAAAAATTGTTACAATGGCAAAACAGTAATTTTCTGTACATCTGTATACTGACTCCAAAGCACAGTTTCTGGCCCTCTGCTCACAACTCGGTGCCTGGACTTCTGGACCTCCTACATACTCACCCATACTGCAGTTGTCAAGAAATCAGCACAGCAATGCAGTAAACCAGCACTGCACAGCATGCCACATACTGCAGCATCAGACCAGCTCATTCATCTGACAACTCAAACTCACCATCAACACAGCAACCACTGCTTGCAATCAACACGTCATCAGAGTCATCCACCCCATCCACTGCAACAGCAGTATATTTGACGAGCTCATATCCAATTAGGCTCGGGTCTAATTCAAGGGTTAAGTCCTAATCACAAAAAGACAAGCCAAATTTAATTTATGACCTCAATTTAATCTAAAACTTACGAAGAGACAACACAATTATTGGAATAGTCATTACTCTAAAATAGTGTCAATCTTTAATTGTAATTATTCTCCTCAATAAATTAATAACTTGAATTTTACATCATCACCTCAACTAAGGCTATGTGCCTATAAATTGTAAACCCTCTATACATGGAGACAGATCTTACAAACTTCACATTAAGAGTATTTTATTTTCTCTGTCTCCTACTATCTTATACACTTCTATTAATAGAGTTTTTCGACTACCGTTACCGCCTTTAGTAGTTAGATCACTCAGACTCAATATTTGTCTCTTATTATTAATTAGTTAATTAATTACCTTATACCACAGATTCGACTGATTTAATCGTGTATAATCAACTTTGTGCATCATCAATATTCAAGCTTATTACACCGATTAAAGGCTTTGTTATCGGATTTATGTGACATTGGATTTGAGCTTTCATATAAAAATTGTCATCACAACATGCCACTAATTAGAGAGGTTGTTGCATTTCACCATTTTTTATTGTTTGCCTACTTGAAATTGTTGTATTTAATATATATTTCAAAAATATAATATATTTTTATTTTATTTATTTCTAACATATATGTGTATAGAAATATAAGTTAAAAAAAATTATTTTAAATTATTTTTAGATCTATTGGATAACATAAACAATACACGTTATGACCATTTACTTTATTATTTATATTGCATTAATTTATTATATTACATGGACAATAAAATTTTAAAGAATGTGACCATTGGTTATTAATTGTTGGAGTTTTGGATTGATCATTGGATGCCAACCATTGTATCCCTTTGTTCTGCAACCTTTCTAACACTATTTAAAACAAGAAAAGTACGAAAATAAAAAGAAGGCTAGGCCATGTTTGGTTAGTTTTTTAGAAATTGTATTTTGTTCTTAAAATTTTAAAAAAAAAATGAGATTTAAGTCAAAAAAACAGAAAATAAGGAGAATAATTTTGAACTTTAATGAGGTTTGCCCTTCGAATCTCCTTAACATCAAATTTCTTTATTTTTTTATTTTTTTACTTTTCCTCTCTCTCATATTATATTATAATATTATTATCTTAGATAATAATATTCTTATACTATATTATTTTATATATTATATTATAATATCTATTATATAATATATATTATATTTTAAAGTTTGATTTATTAAATTTTTTTTATGAAATTATCAATCTAAAAATAACTTTCTTTCATTTTTTTTATTAATGTTTAAATTACTGTTCAAACATATATTTAAACTGTTCAAACAGGTTTTACTATTTTCTGTACTGTAAAATTGTTTTGAAATCATCTAATCAAACAAGTTTTTTATCTAAAAAAATATCAAAACAATTTTTTTAAAACTATTCTCAAAAACTGTTTTGGAATATTATTTTTTAAAACGCAAACCAAACAGGCCCCTACTGTTCAGACTTCAAAGACATCATTTTCTTAAAATTGACACATTCATTTTGTTATCTAGTGGATTTTTCTATGTAATCTTGGTATTCATTTGAGAACAATCAAGAATTGTTTCGTGACACTTTTATATTTACGAGTGCACGTTTGTAGAGAAACGATAGTTGAATCCTTGAGGATAGAACGATATAACCTGTTGCATCAGGTTTTATACTCAAATGGGCGAAAATCTATTATTAAATACAGTGACTACACGTTTTTATCGACAAATTTTTCTTGTGTTATTTATTATCTGATTTTAAGCATTCTTGAATTGATATTTTAACAAAATAAATGAATGTGCCCATTACATAGGAAACTTCCGCACCTACCTCCCATGTGATATAAATGGTCAATCAAATACCTGCCACCATCGGATTAAAAAAAAAAAAAAACACCTACCACCAAAAAGGGCAAAATGAAAAAAAAAAAAAAATTTATTCTATAATCCTACAAAACTATGTGGGTCCTTCAATTGGAAGGTACTTGAAGGGAATAGTTTTTGGTTCAACACAAGCGCATTGTAGGGATTACATCTGGTAAGCTAAAAGTAACACTACAATAGATGAGGTCATTCCTAATGAATCAACTCAGTTTAATAAAACATTGTTTGAGCTGGAGATTGTCAAGCTAAGAAGAGCACTCACCTGATCAGCAATCACAATGAGAGAATGTTAAGCCTAAGAGGCATTCTAACGAGTTTTTCGGCATTTTAATATTTCGAGTTTGAATTTTAGTAATTTTTTACAGTTAAGTCATGAAAAATTTATCTTTTATAAATTTTCTTAATTCTGGCAAACCTATTTTTAATCTAACCACAAAAAAAAATTAATTAAGACACGCATAAATTCGTCTCCAAACTCATGCTTTTTGGATAAGTGCATAGGAACCATTCAATTTTTCCATTTATGTACTGTCTCTCTCCCTTTCTCTCTCTCTCTCGAGCTGGAGCTGGGTCAGACTTCATTGTCTGTTCAAGACTTGCAGGACCATGAATGTCATAAGGACCAACTTGCATATTGTGATTTCCACACATTCAAAACATGGATAAGGTTACGCCAGTTTATTTATTTATTTTTTTTTGCGAAAAACTATGGTTTATATAGTTTTGCCAAAAAAATTAGATTTAAAAAAATTCTTCAAAACAGTTTAGGGTGTTCTTTAAAAACCTGAAAAAATTGTAAAAATCCATTTGAATTGACTTTTTAGATTTTTTGGTTTTTTGTGCCAAAATAAAAATAAAAATTATATCTATGTATAGATTATTCATAATAATTTCAAAATATGAATTGTAAACTATTTTATTATATAAATATATGTCTGAAACCTATACCAAACTAAAAATTTAAATGTCTAGATATAAAATAATAGGACGCGTTCACTTCTTTCTCTATTCGGCGTGAGATTCCTATACATGCAATACCATACAATCTCTCTTACATAAATCACAACGAACTTAACTCTTCCTTGATTATAATCGGCAATTCTTTACAAACAAAGTGTCCAATCACCTTGAATCAACTCTTCTTAAAACTAAGATTTTTTGAACCGCTCTAACAAGACATCACATTTCCTCTATCAAGAGCCCGTATTTCAGCACTTTCCTTATCTTGCTCTGCTAAGGATCTTGATGGTGTGAATCAACGTGGGTGAGCTAAACGTGTGATGATCGTGGATCAGAGTTACAAAGCTCGTGCGTGATGCTGGAATGTAATGCTAAGGGGATTTAAGGGGTGTACACAGTGAAAATATAATGGTTCATCGGCTCAGGAGTTCGGCTAGTCCACTTTTTTAATGGAGGCTCTTGCTCCCTCTCTTCTGTTTACCACTCTAATGTATTACAATTCGGTATATCTCGAAATTAGAGTTTGTTTTTTTCCTCCTCTCTACGGAGGCGTTACATAGTATTTATAGGAATATTCCCCATTCTATCGGATCTCAGCCGAGATCTCTGCCTATTAGTGGGATTCTCCTTGATTTTAGGAAAAAATCTTGATTGGTTTATCCCGCTATCATCTCCCCAAGGAGAGCTCTGCCCTGGACTTCTGAGGTCCTAGTATTCTATTTGACCTCCTGACCTGATCTTGTTTCCTGAGTTCACTCTTATGGCTTATTTGAGGTGTCATCGGATCCACTGGTCTATTGCCTCACCATTCTATCATGACTAAAGCCTACTGACATGTGCCATTTTTCGGGACACTGTGTCATCGCCTGATTGAGGCTAGCCCAACAGCTCACCGACCATCACTTACCTCTCTCTCAGACGCTACTATAGGCAAAAAATCTTGGGCACAGGTTATGACATTTAAATTATCAAATGATTTTTAGTATTTTATAACAACTATTTACATCATGTACTTGTGAAGGATGATTGTAGTGAGTGAGGGTTTTTGTAGGATTTCTCGGAGTTCTGGAATTTTGATGAATGCATGGCATACATCGAAGATAACATGCTAAAGCAGGGACCATTTGACGGTATGCTAGGCGTCTCTCAGGTAACACATTTTGGAAAGGAAAGAAAAATTACTTATTTGCAGTAGATCTGTTAATTTTATTCATTACTAGGAGCATGGCACGAGTTCGAATATGATACGACCAATTAATGTGAATAATAAATTAATCGAATTAGTGTAAACAATGAAAACGTTGCGAAAAATAAACATACAAGTTTTATTGTATATTTTTTGTTATAGTATTGTTAGATTTATTTTAAAACTAAATGATTTATCATTTAATTTTGCTAGTATTGGATCAAGCAAATTTTTAAACTAGATTCCAACCTTATTTTGTGTTCTTATCTACTGAGTTTCTCTTGTTATTCTATCAACTACTTCAATTCGTTTGACATTGCCCCAAAACTAATTACATGATGTGTTTTGGACAAAAAATATCCATGTGTACGCGATAAAGCAACACATTTCTAATGCCTATAATTCCTGTAATGTAAAACTAATAATCATAGCTGTAAGAACAATGTGAAAAACGTCAAAATTGATGGCGTGAAGTAAAAAACATAACTATAATTGGAGATATAATGTGGGAAATATGACAAATAGATGGACAATTGGAACATAAAACATTGGTAAAGGATTCAAAATATAATTTGTTCTTTTATATATATAATGTGTCAACTAATTTCATTTTCTACTATATATTTATGTCATTTTTCAATAAAAGGGAGTGCTAATAGCAGCAGAATCACCAGGAATGCAAAGTGAGGTACGTGACATATGATGTTTTTGGTGGTTGTTATCAAATAGTATATAATCTTAACTTGTAGAGGTGTTTAATGATTGAGTTTGATCTTTGTTAATTTAAAGGTTCCAAATTCAATCATTTCTCACATCCTCGAAGGGTTAGTCACCCCTGTTTTTTTCAGGAACATGCTCTAACCCAATTTAAGTCAACGGTGGCTGCCGTTACACACGTTAATATTAAATTTTCAAACTGACCCAAGAATGTTTTTGTTTGCAGGGTGTGGCTCTAACCAAAGTTCCAAAAATAAAATTTGTGATCGTAATTTCAGGGGGGTAAATTTGGAGGGTCAGTCTTTTCTTCACCAGAGCTGGCTAAAAATGCCTTTTCTTCACCCATTGAGATCTCATCACCTCACTTTATAGGTAGTTTAAAACCAAAAACAAATTTCGTATGTTTAATGTGAAAAATATGAGGGTCGAGTAGATAATAATATAATAAAGTATTATGTCTCTCTCTTTTTTTTTTTCTCTTATCTTCTTTGTTTTCTTTTTAAAAATGTTTAATTTTTCACGAGCTTTCTTCCCAAATAGGAGAGCATGACTTCGCAAAGGAAAATGGGCTTGAACTCTTGGAAGCATTTGTGGATCCTACAGTGATATATCATCATGAAGGTCATGGTGTACCTCATTTAGGTAACCTGATAATTGGCTTGGTTCCCTTCTTTGTGAATTTTAAAATGCACTCTTTTTTTTCTTTTTCTTTTTCTTTTTTTGTGGATTTTTAATAGAAAGTGAATAATTCAAGTGGAAAAAATCTATGGTTTCTATTTTGGATCCTACCAAATAATTTTATAGTGTAATTCTACATATTCACTCAGAGGAAAATCTTTTTGTAATAGATGACCCTCGAAATCATAATCTATTTATATATGACATAGATTTAGAAGATTGATGAAAGAAAAACATATCACAAACTTCTCGCTCTCACCGGCCGGGTGATGGAGACAAATTATGACCTAATGATGTAATGTTATAACCCAATAAATTGACTTTCTTGAAGTATAACTTAGTCAAATTGAATCGTAAATGTGATATGTACGGTAAAAAAAATGACTTTCTGATATCCTAAACGATCCCATGCAAGAATTATTCATACTCTCTTTGGGTTCTATCTTTTTTTTTTTTAGATGAAGAAGGTTTGAAGATCATAATGAGCTTCCTTGAGAAGATTCAAAAGCTGCTGTTGGGATGAAGAAAGATATGTCATGAAGCAAAGAAGAAAGTATTACCCTATCATGTAATATCATAAAGTTTACTTTCAACTAAGAGGCTGCCGTTGATGAATTGTAGAAGATCATATTATTTGGTTACGGGCAATGAACTCAAGTACATTTCCATCTTAGATATCTATATTATTATCATCTAAATACTCGACATACACTCATATATCTTTAAGTTTCAAGATTACTCCTTTACACAAACTTTGAAATAAAACGATAGAGCATACAGTATAATTGTCACGTTCACATAAATCTTATAGTAATGTTACTTGGATTTAATTTGTTAACGTGATCCATCAAAATTATTAGATTGGTTATGTGTCTCAACAAATAATAGGGTCTAATGTCAATCTAATGGTTGGGATTAATTAGGTTAATAAATTAAGTTTAAATAACATTTTAGATCACATAAAGCGGGAGGGCAAAAGCGTCAACTTTCAAAAAAAAATTAGAATATAAACGTCTTAAAAGTGTCATATTATATGCATATAGATATACATTCACCCTTAAAATTTAATATAACTAAAATATAAAAAATTAAAATTTTATACACAACTATAAGACAAACTATTTAATTTTTTTTAATATATATTAATTATAAAGTCCTAAAATAGTAATTATAGTTTATAAATACTATTCTAGTTAGATATATATCTTTAAGCATGAGCCAATATTTTTCATATAAAGATTTGAGTAATAATAAATAAGTATATAATAAGTAAGTAAGAGTATAAATTAATTAAATTCATAAATTAAAAAATTAAATTCACAAATTTTATAAAATACGAGTGCAGTTACCACAAAATTTGTTATCAGAGTTCAAATTTACGTGCGGAGTGCGGAAAGTTAGAAGTTTCTAGAAGAATTACGTGACTAACGTAGCATTAATCTAAAGTCTAACCCAGACGTTGTCCTCACACCTAACCACCAGATCTCTCATGTGTACAGAAAAGCAAAACGAACAAGCGCAGGGGATCGAAACTCCTCGGTCAATGCCACCCCATATTTCCTGCGAACCAGTGGTCCGAACTCGACCGCCATTTTTGTTCCCTTCGTCCATTCAATAAAAACCGCCATTTTTGAGAGAACACATCAACATCCAAATCGTTAAAACCAGTCAGAAAAATCTCCAATCACCCCCCACGCGCCACCCCACAAGCTACCGTGTCAAATTGCTCATAGCCTCTGCATTTGAAACTATACAATCACAACTGTTGTCGTTGTAAATTAGTTGAGGAAGATGATGGAACAACCAGACGGCGGAGGAGAGAGAGGAAAACTGAGGCGGATCAAAGGAGCTCGGGGAGTTCGGGCCAGGATCCGAATCCGAAACCGGATCCGAAAGTGGAGGTCCGTGGTGATGGATCGAATGGAGAGCAATTGGCAGATATATATTCTGATGAGAGAGAAGAGAGTTATAAATCGCCGAATCGATCGAAGAAATCGGTGCGGTGGAGTGAGGAATTGGTGATGGAATCTCCTTCTCAAACACCCATGCCTCAAGATGATCGATCGAATCCGTACGTTGCCTATGCTCCTGCGCCGTCCGATTCAGCATCGTCCTCCTTCAACTTCAAGAGTGAGTTAATCTTTATATATATATATAGGATCTCTTTAATTTGCTTGAATTGAGATCAATATGAGGCCTCCTTTGAGCATAAATGAAATTGAGATTTCTGTGGTTTGCTCTAAGCCCTAACCTATTAGGATCTATTTGGATTTGCTTGAATTTGAGATTAGGTTTTTTTTTTTTTTTTTTGGGAAAACAAGATTAGGCCTCCTTCGAGCATAATGAATTTGAGATCTCTCTCTCTCACTCACACACACAAACAGAGGAAAGGTGTTGGGTGTTTTCAAGGCAATATTGTTGAAGATCACAAACACATAAATGGGTATTGAGAACTTTGGGTTTTTTTTTTTTTTGGGTGTTGTATTGATCAGATACGATGTATAGTGTACGAGATGTGCTAGGGAGATGGGGGACGAAGGTGGGAGAAGCGACAAAGAAGGCTGAGGATCTCGCTGGAAACACTTGGCAGCACTGTAAGATTTCTGACCACTTGGTTTGTTTTTCTGTTTGTGTCTTAATTGCTAAGACCTTTTTTCGTACTCTCGGATCTTAAATGTTCCATAAAGCTATTAATTTCTGCTTTTTCTGAAATTCTTGTTGAGTGTCTATGGATAAATTACTCTATTCGAGCAAAATGGGGTTTGTGGTCTCGGGAATTGATGCATTTGATACCACAAGCATATTTAACTTTTCAAGAAGTGAACAAATTTTAAACCATTAATATATTAATCATGATTACAGTTATCTAAGCAAGATAAGAATTGGTGTTAAGAATTTGGCTGATTTTTTTCTCTTTTATATCTATATTTTAATAAAGTTGTATTTTGGTTATTTGTGCTCGTGTCAAAATTAGTTTGCGACGTTTAAGTGACATGTTTTTTTTTTTTTTGGTACGAAAATCAGATTTGTCAAACGACCCAACATTTTTATCATTCAGGTTAAATGGCTTGGTCTGTTTTTTACACTAACCTATTTAGATTCAATTCTAAACCATTAATACAATGTTATACTCACATGTCATGTTGATGTGCTGTGTCGAAAATGGCTACATCTAGGTTTTGAAAATAAAAAGAGATTCAATGCAAGGATTGAGGATATGCTTAAAACTTCGGGAGGGAATGCAAAAAGCTTGGGCTTATCTTTTTTTTTTTTTCCCCTTTATTTTTCTATTCAGTTGAAACAGAGAGTCTTGGATCTGGATTGGAGGCAAATTGCCATTCTCTTCCCTTATATCCGTTAGTGATTTAGCTTTTGTGTTTGAACGATTATTGGATTTAATATAGAACAGCAATATTCAGTCATTGTTGTTGCAAAAGACCTTGCGCTGAAGTTTTTTTTCACGAGTTTAGAATGCATGTGTGCAAGGAATCTCTAATTGCCCTTTTTTTTTATTTCAATAACTCAATAAGACCTACTGTTTGGAATGTTCCATTAACAATCAAATATTTCATGGACTTGAATCCAAAATTTGACTTTGTATTTAATTAATAAGTGGAGTCTTGCAATTTAAAGTTGGTATTATATTCTTTTATTACTTTGCACTTCTAGAAAATGGAAGGAATCTTGGCAGTATGGATTTATCATTAGTGGTGCTGATAGGGATGATTTTGGTAATGGAGTTTAGTCAAGTTAATAGTGGTGCTAATTTATGATGACGGTGGTTATGCTGGCAATGGTGGTGCAGTCATATTGGGGACCGTAATACAAACAAAGATTTGGTCACCTGACCTGTAACTTCCATGTGGAGCAGAAATGGGCACCAGACACAGAAGCAACAGGACACAAAATGAAAGGAATATGAGAACCTACAAGTCTAAGAAGTTGGATACCGCCATGAAAGAACACATCAATATAATTCCATTGGGTGTGAAAGTGATGCCACTATTAATACTTAGGAATTGTAATCGGTACATAACCATATCTCAGATTGTACCATATACGTGAAGTACAAAGTGTCTAATGGAAAATTTGTTGTTTATGCAGTGTAGAGTAGAAAATAAGTTTTTCCTTTGTAAGTTGTACTACTTGTATG